TATCTATCTATCTATCTATCTATCTATCTATCTATCTATCTATCTATTTGAGACAGGGTCTCCCTATGTAGCCCCGGATGTCCTGAGACTATGTCAGGCTTGTCCTGAACTCACAATGGTCGACACGCCTCTGCTTTCCAAATGACGGGATCAAAGGTGTGTGCCACTATACCTGGCTATAAATAACCATGTTTTAAAGTGCTTATGTCATTTATGACTTGTTTTTGTATTTCGAGACAGGGTCGCTCTATGGAGCCCTGGATGTCTTGGAACTCACAATATAGACCAGGCTGGCCTCAAACCTGCAGAGATCCGCCTGCCTCTGCTTTCTGAGTGCTAGGACCAAAGGTAAGAGCCACCACACCCAGCTGGGTGTATGTGCATTTGCGTGGGTACCATGGAAACCAGAATCTATAGTTTAAGGCTGGGGAGGTGGCTCAGAGGTTGGGAGCACTGACTTCCAGAGGTGCTGAGCAAACATCTTATAATGTGATCTGGTGCCCTCTTCTGGCACGCAGTCATAATGCAGGCAGAGCACTGTATACATAATAAATAAATAAAATCTTTAAAGAAATTTGTAGTTTAATAATACAAACAAACAAAAACACAGAACTCAGAACTCAGCTGAAATAAGATAACTGTTGATCTGAGATAATTTTTTTTTTTACTAGGAAAATTATTTTCTGTACAGACACTCCTGACACGGAGAAAAGAAAAAAAAATAAGTTTTTGAAAGGAACACTGTAAGGTTAAGTAAGATTTTGAGGGCCAGGCAAGGTGGTGCACGCTTGTAAACCCAGCACTCAGGAGGCAGAAGCAGGTGGATCTGTGTGAGTTCAAGGCCAGCCTGGTCTTGTGAGTCCAGGATAGCCAAGGCTACACAGAGAAACCCTGTCTCAACAAAACAAAACAAGAAAGAAAGAAAGATTTTGAGCTAGAGTTATAGATGGTTATGAGCCACTTGCTGGGATTTGAACCTGGGCCCTCAGTAAGAGCAGCAAATGTTCTTAACCAGTAAGCCAAGAACCCATTAAATTCTTGCTTATTTATTAACTTATTCAGTTTCTCGAGTACTAGTGTTTTGCCTGCAGGTATGACTGACGTAGACTGCCTAGTACCCACAGAGGTCAGGAGAGGGCGTCAAATCCCCTGGGAGCAGAATTTCAGAGGGTTGTGAGCCTCCTGTGGGGGGCTGGGAATTGAACCCAGGACTTCCGGAAGGAAGATCAGCCAGCGCTTTAACCGTCGACCCATCCCTCTCGCTCCACATCATGAACTCCTAAGACATTTGCCCATTGTATTTTCATTTATACCGTTGCTCTTAGGAAGCACGATACCGTTCTGATCATGAGATCCCTCCTTAAACTTTTGGCATTTTCCTCATCTTCAGTGTTCTGAATATCGAAGGCTGCCTATCTTGCTTTGGAGCCATGTGGTCGGGTGGGAGTGGCCACGTGTGAGCATGTGGGTGGGCGTTCCTGAGGACCTCAGGGACCAGGACCTCAGGCGTGTTGGGCAAAACGCTCCAGCTGAGAGCTACTTTCCCAGTCCCTGTTTGGACCGGTAGTTCTCAACGTATGGGTCGAGACCCCTTCCTCAGGGGTAGCTTGAAACTATTGGAAAACACCGGATATTTACATCACAATTCATAACAGCAGCAGAATTACAGTTACGAAGCAACAACAACAATTTTGTGTCACCACAACATGAGGAACTGCATTGCAACTGTTGGGAAGGTTGAGAGCCAACTGCTCTAGACTCTGTGAGTTCAAGGCCAGCCTGACCTACAGAGTGAGTTTCCAGATAGCCTAGGGCTATGTTTTGAAAAAAAAAAAAAAGAAAAGACCTTCTAGCTGCCTCTCCCTTCCTGAAATCGGGCCGAACTCCCACGCCGTCTGCCCCTTAACTCGAAGAACTAACAGATGCCAGCTCTGGCTGTTACAGTCAGTCCTTAGATCTCTGAGGGAAAAGGCAGCCCAGCCCTCCTTCCTTCCTTCCATCCCTCCCTCCCTCCCTCCTTCCCTCCTTCCCTCTCTCCCTTCCTCCCCTAGCTCTCTCCCTGGGACAGAGTTGATGAGAAATCCTGGGCTGTGGTCCTACAGTTCTCGTTTAAGATCTTGTCAAGCGCCTGCTCCAGTGCCCCTTGACAGGTAGGCCAGGCTAGACCACTCGGTATGAAGCTTGTCCCCTGAAAACCCCTAAGTGTCAAAAACTGCCTTGGTCAACTGGATTTGAAGGGAAGCCTCCCTTCCCCTCTTTGGGGCCCCATTGTGGGTCTCCATGGCCGTGACGCTGTGGGATGGTCTGTGAGCTAAAGGATCCATGTGTCCCTTCCTGCCCCATCATGCCACATACGACATGGGTATCTCCTAATGAGGCGATTCTCACCTCTCAGGGTCCCGTGTAGTAAGACCACTGTGAAGGCTGACCTCACTGAAGTCCACTTTTCACCCCCAATTTTTGTATGTGTGTGTATGGTGTATGTGTGTGTGTGTGTGTGCGCGCTGCATGCATGAACTTGTGGGTGGGTTGTGGGTGGGGCTGTGCGCACGTGGAGGTCAGGGGACATCTGTGGGTACAAGTTCTCCCCTTCCACCTTGTTTGAGACAAGGACTCTATTGTTTTTCTACTGCGAGTGTGGCTTGCTGGCTTGTGAGCTTTGGGGACATTTTCCTGTCTCCACCTGCCATTTCCGGGAAGCGCCGGG